CACGATTACAAGTAAATTGTGTATAAGTACAACTCATTAAAGTTTCATGCTTGAATTCGTGTAACTAACTATAGAGTGTAGATAAACATTTTATTTTAAATATAAAAATCTAAAATATAATTAGGATAATTATTGTGTTCTAACATAATACTTAATTATTATCTTTATAAAAAAATATATTATTAAATAAAAAATAAATTACTTCGTTATTAAATATAACTTAAATTATAATAAAAAAAATTTGAATTAAATAAATTACATAAGAAAATAAAAACTTTTAAATAGTTAATTACTAATATTGATACATTTTTTTTTTCAAAATTTTATAATATCTTTAAATTTATATTTTATTCAAAAATAAAAACATTATAATTTTCTCAAAACCACATAAACCATATTATAACATCGACATGAGACAAAATAAAACGAAACATTAAAATCGAGATTTCGCTGCATTGTTCGAGTACCTAACTAGTTATATTATAAGCATTTGACAAAGAACTCTTAAAAACCAGTTTTTATGCATCAAGTATTGTTTGTTGATGCATATTAAAATTCAAGATTGCAAGTAAATTGTACGTAAGTACCACTTATTAAAATAGAATTTTGAATTCGTGTAACTAACTGCAGATAAAATAATCAAATGCATGATAAACATTTCTTTTAAATATAAGAAATCAAAAATATAGTTAGGATAATCATTGAATTCTAACAGAACATTTAATTATTATTTTTATAAAAAAATGATATCATTCCTTATTATTAAATCTAAATAAATTATAATGAAAAATAGAATTAAAGAAGTTACATAAAAAACGTGAACTTTTAAATAGTTAATTTGATACTAATATCGATATAATTTTTAAATTTTTTATGAAATATTCAAATTTAAATTTTATTCAAACATTATTACTTTATTAAAATCACATAAAATCGTAGAGACAAAAAAATAAAATAAAACATTAATATCAAGATGTATCACACTGCATCATACATGAGTACCCTTCTAGTAAATACTAAACACGTCTTTAATATAAACAAACGCAACGATTTATTGCTACACGTATTGTGTGAATTTCACACCTAACCTCCCTCACGTTAAATAAGCTTAATACCTGCTTACTTTTTACATTTAAATTTTCTCTTAATAATCATTAATTTTAAATGCAAAAATTCTTTATATAGCTTGTAATCGTATTGATTTGTTTTAAATTTAATTACTTATTGATCATAGACTTTATCCTTCGTCTTAAAAGATTGATCTATTTAGCCGGACTAATGACTGAGTTGTCGTATTTTATATTTATCTGTCCGTTTGGGTTATACACTACCATAAAGGGTTGGACTCACGTGAGACTAGACTGTTTTGGTGAAATCATTTTTTTACACTTGAAACTTCACAGCAAAACGTTGTGAAGGTAAAAAAAGTTGAACTTTTTTCACAGCAAAAACACTATAAAGATTATCTTCACAGCGTTAAAGTTTCAAGTGTATAAAAATGGTCTCACGGATCTCATGAAACAAGTCGTTCTCACGTTATCTCAAATCCTATTATTAAACATTTTTTCTCATAAAATAGTAATTTTTTCTCTCTCATCTTAAATGAGATTTTTATACAAGTAAAAATAATTAAGGCAATTTTCGTTATAATCTTCAAAATAAATTGCAGAGATTTTCTTTACATATAGAAAATCTTTTATTTATGTTCTTTTTTTCTCTATTTTAGACGCTGATTTAAAGATTATGTCGAAAACAATTTTGATCAAAAAATATTTAAAATTCTTGTTTCCTTATTTAAAAAAAATATATTCACGATGTTTAAAAAATATCTATCGGAGATGCTTTCATGGATCAAATATGACTGATGCCTACGTAGCAAAGAACATGAACAAGAACAGTAAAATCGGTTACTCCTTTAGAATCCTTAATTGGGTCCGATTAAGGGGCCGTTTACCAAACACTTGTCCGGTAAATGCTTACCGGTAAAATTTAACACTATTATTTACTTACCTGGTAAGATTTTAGTCCACCAGAACGACATTGTATGCAACAATTTACCCAGTAAGCACTGATCGTGGTAAGAGTCGTCGCCCTCACTTACCGGGTAAGACTTTTGATCCTTGTCTCACTCTTACCGTGTAAAATTATTTGTCCTTACCATATTCATCCGATGAGATAATATTACTTGGTAAGCGCTTACCCGGGTAAAAGTTTGGTAAACTATCTTCAATCAAATAATTATAATTGTATGACTAGATAACATATTGGATGTGGTTACTGCAAGATGGTTATTAGGTCCAAAGGGCCCAAGATCCATGTATAATTAAAAGTTGGTAAGAGACCCGGTCCGGGAGACAAAAAATTTAAAGAACACGTTATAGACGGGGCCACGAAAATGGTTCTCCTAGTTGTTAAAAATTAGTCTCGAGTCAGTTTTAATTGGTTTTGTCAAAACCGGATTGGTTGGTCTTGATCCACCTAAAGTCCTATGACCTAGCTAGGCCCTGTTACTAGTGCCGGTCCAAAAATTGAATTCATTTTATCCCAAAAAGAAAGTGTACTTTATTTTTCTGCAAACCAGATAATCAACAACAAGCATATACGATATGGAAAACAATCTATTGCTAATCCTTTTTTTATTTTCTCTAAGTTTTTTTGAATAAGAAATTGACATGTTATATCTTTCTGTCTTCCACCACCATTTAATTTAAAGCCTTTCTTCTATTATGTGCCTGTAAGGCTGATCTGGTGGAGGGCGAGTCAGGTGTTTGTCCAGGGCCCACAAGAAATAGAAGCCCAATTTTTTTTTTCATATATACTATATAGTATATAGTAGTAGTTCAAATATATTAATAAATAAAAGGGACACAAGTTTTTTAATTTTTAAAATGATCCAAAAAGAATTTAGCATTATATCAAGGGCTTAAGGCCCATCCGACTTGTATCATGGATACTAATCGGAACTTAACAAGATAGATAGTTTTTATGGGGCATAGGCCCCCTCCACATGAATTTTTGATCTAAGATTGATGCTTTCTAAAAAGTTTGTTTTAACCCTAAAAAAAGTTTAAGATGATTATTGATATTGTACTTTCCATTCAACCATTCCATACCTTTTTTTTTTCTCCTTGTTTTTTGTAAGTATATAACAACTATATACGACAAATGCAATAAATAAATCACACCCTCCTCACATTTGGTGAAGTTTGAACCCATGACCTCTTAGGAAACCAAAGACTATGATATCGTTAGACTAACTTTGTATGTACCTTTGTAATTCTACAAAGAAAAACTATTAATTTAAATATATGTACCGTTACATTTATATAATCACTCACAATAGCTATATAACCACGCTTACTATTTTAATTTGAATATATGTACCGTTACATTTATATAATCGCTCACAATAACTATATAACCACGCTTACTATTTTATATAAAATATATAGGTAGAACATATTCGATGATTTTTATTCTTATTGCGTCAAGTTTCATTAACATTTAAGATGCATAGAGAGAACCCTCTCGTGGCTGGTCGCCACAACATTATGCACTTGATACTTGGTTACCAATATAGAGTAAAAAACGCTCGAATCACACATGATTTTACACTTAAATCACATATGATTTACACGATTTTAGTCGCGACCTAAGATAGCAGACAACATCACATACACATCTTTGTGTTAATCATTAGTGTAAAATCACATGTAATTTAGACACGATTAAACCATTTACATGTTTTCTTATTTGATTATTTCTCTTTCTCTTATATATATATATATATATATATATATATATATATATCTATTTTGTTAAAAACTTTGGTATATTAAATACAATCATTACTTTTGTTTTGCTTTTTCAATAATTAAAAGTAATATAAAAATAATGATTATGTCATGTTTGTATTTCAAAATTTTGTTGTTTTATGCCTTTTAATTGATTATATATGTTTTTCAGTTTACTCTAATTTAGTAGATAGAGCAGTGGTTTGACCACTAATCTCCTGCATTTTTATACTTGCCACCATTTACGCCACTACCTTTCTTTTGCAACCATCATTAATTCCTTTTTTAATCCTCTAATTAATTAAAATTATAAATTAAACTATTACATTTTGTTGTGAAGTTTCAAGTGTAAAAATCATATCTTACGAAAACAACATTGTCTCATGTAAACCCAACCATATTTATACTAATTGGCTAAGATTCTCCCCATTTTTGAGCAAAAATGATACCAAAAATAATGAAATAAAAATATTTTAAAAAGATCTCGGGATTATTTTGTAATTTTCAATGCTTGTATTAAAGATGATGTGCCATTTAACCATATATCTATCGTCTTCAAACCTAAAATTTGGCATGACACCTTATCACTTGATTAATAAACCACACCTCCATGAGTTGGACCACCATCAAATTTCAATCACAACCTAATAATTGACCGGTCAATATGCACACCTGATCCATGGATCCTATGTGGGGTGCTCTTATGCCCCCACCTCCTATTCCATATCTCTAATTATGTTTAACTAGTAATTTAATCCAATCATTTGCTTTCGTTAACGATTTTCGTTTTCTAGTTAATTGTTCGTCTTTAAAATTGTGAACGAAAAACGCCCGCTTAACCAGTATGGTCTTAGACAAACAAAATCCGTCACTAAAACACATATGACTTTCTTATGGATGAAATTAACGTGTTTTTACTTAAATCTTTCACTTGAAGCTTATTCAATAAGTCATCTTTTATATTGTTAATAGCATCTCCAACAAATATGTTAAACTGAGATTTCTTCAAAGTGTCGATAAATTCTAGATTTGGAAAAATAAAATATGGTGATAGCTGCCTTTCATTCTTTATGGGATTGGTCGGGCAAAGAAAGCTTAAAGAAGCATCCCACCGACGACCACCACCTTTCACTTTCCCTCCTTTTTCATCATTACCCTCCCTCCTAATATCATCATACTTCGATTCATCATCCCTTCAACAAAATCATGGGGAACTGTCTCTTTGGAGGGTCACCGGAAAATGATCCAGTTATCAAGGTCATCAACTCCGCCGGTGGAATCATGGAGTTCTACTCCCCCGTGACTGCAGAATGCATCATCGACGAGTTCCCCGGCCATGGGATTTTCCGGGGAAACGATCTTTTTTGGAAACCCATCCCTCACCATGAGTTTCTGGTCGCCGGAAACTCTTACTATCTTCTTCCACTCGATAAGAGAAGAGGAATGAAGGTAGGGCATGTTAGATCCAACAGCCTCCCGCTAAACACACCTGCACCCTACCGGATGTCGTTCGACAGCCGTCGAATGTTCAAGAGGTCGTACACAGATGGGTATTCCTCGTCTTCTTCTAGCTCTTGTAGCTCCAGAAACAATGGCGGATTTTGGAAGGTGAAGCTGGTGATAAGCCCAGAACAGCTGTTGGAGATACTGTCACAAGATGGAAGAACACAGGAGTTGATTGAGAATGTGAGAACCGTGGCAAAATGTGGAAACGAAGCCGCTGTTTCTTGTAATTCTTCTGCGGTCTTATCAGATCAATGGAGTCTGTGCAGCAGTAGCAGAAATGGTTCCAAGAAAGATGTTGTTTTAGAGATGTAATTACTTAATTAGCACCAAAAACTTTGTCAGCAACTTTGTTTCGAAATCGATCTCGATCTCGATCTCGATCCTTCAAACAAGTTGTATAATGATCAATTAGCAGATTACACGACTGTTTTTAACTCTGATACGAACGAGTTGGGATCATGTTGAAATGTAAACTTATTTACTTGTCGGTTTGGACAAAGGTTATAAAATGTCTATTTTAAGTTTTTTTGGTTGTGACGCAACTCGTATCCGAACTACTCGTGTATTATGGTGTTGTAATGCGCCATAACTGAAACCGACATACGAGCTTTAAAATATTCGAATCAACTTAAAACCGCGATGAAAGTAATTGATAGACCAACAATTTTATAACCTTATAAATTGACTTCAAATCTAATTTCTTTGTACCAAACAAAGAGACATCTAATTTTCATAAATAATAACAAGATAATTAGTAGAGTAAGCAACAAATTTGTTCCATGTGGTTTGTCAAAAATAAAACCTGGTCACTGTAATTCGTGATTTTGGCTCGTATTTAATTTCTGGTTTTAACAAATTATGATAAATTGTATTTTTTTTAAGTGTATTTTATGGACCAAATTACATATTTTAAAATGTATTTTAATAACGTATTTCTTTAATCGATTTTTTCTTTAAAAAAAGGGGACTGATTTGGGTCTGGCCCGGGACCGGTTACAAAGTACCTTAACGGGCCTTGGGTTTTTGGTCGGGATTAAGAGTAGTTACGGGAGTAGTGTTTGGGACCTAAACCAATATGAGCCCAAAACAACTCGAAACCGATTTTTGACGATCTCTAGCTTAGAGCTATAAGCTCTAATTATAGATGTGGATTGTGGAGTAGTGATACCCGACCCATGACCCATTTTAACCACTCTAATGTGGATTGCGGAGTACTGGTATGGTTGGGCCTCGATTAAATACATGGCCCCATTTTTAGCCACTCAAATTGTAGATGTGGAATTGTGGATTGTTTGTGGTGGAGTGCTGGTATGGTTGGGGCTTCAATGAAATATATGGCCGGGGTCCATGAGAGAATAGCTAAAAAGACGGCCCACGAATCAACCAAACAAATTTGTCCTTAAATTTCGTTTATTATATAAATTTGGTCGTCATGGTTTGTATCAAACAAATTTGATTAATTAATAAAAGGTTAAAATGCATGAAATAGCAACTTATTTTCATAAATTTTTTATTATAACATTTTATTTTTGTTTTTCTTTATTACAGCAATGTATTTTCAAATTATTTTTTATTAAAACATTTTACTTTAAAAAATCTACCCATAATAGGGTGACCTGTTACCTTTTAAACCGGTTAATCCTTTGACTTTTTTGTTTGTGTGGCTTTAATGAGGTAATGTGGATGACACATCATTTTAATGACTTAAATAAAATTAAAATAAAAATATATTTCAAATTATTATTAGTGATTTTCATTTTTCATTGCTATGATCTAAATTTTTTTTTTTACTTTTTCTTGTTAAGTTGCATTCAAATTAAATATTCTTAGAGTAAAATATTTATTAAATAAATATGAAACATTATTTTTGAGATATATTTTGTTTGTAAAAAAGTAACTTTTTTTATTTTATGTTGTTCAAATAAATACATAT